GAAAGTATCAGTGGTGCGTGGCGCGACAGCTGCATAAATAATTTTTCACGTGCTACCACACATTATACCGAAATCGCCTGAATGGATCAACGGGTTGTCAATATCTGTGAGTTTAGGATTGTCGCGGTAGCAACTGTTGTAGTTGCGAGCCGATAGGTTTGAGTGAATGCAAGTGCAATATCGACGTGAGAAGGCATTTTGAAAATCCGCTTGTGCAAAACACTGTTAGCGATTGAGCAAAGTGTAACTAAAATGAGTGACCATGAATTGAGGAACATTTCATACGAAGGTTGCACACATGACTTGTTTTGAGGAACATAACACATAATGCACACATAACATGTAACTTGTTTTGTTGTAGTTTTGTGGTGGTAGGTTTAGGTGATTTCAAGTGTAGTATATGTTATAGTCTTAGTGAGACAAATTTTAGTGAGAAAGAACTTAGGCATAGTGAGACAATTCTCGTGGAATGAATTATCTTCTTTCGAAGAACATGACGATCTGCATTCTTGAATAAGGTAATCGATTCTCTCGAAAGGATACCGAGTTTATGAATTTAACCGAGTTTACGAGTTTAGCTTGTCGTTTAGCATAGGATAGGAGTGGCAAAGCAATACAACGAGTAGAGCATTTATGGTATGACGTGTGATGTTACGGTAAATACTACGATGAGATCAGCAAGCTAGAGTGAGCATCATTGTCTGAAAATTAGTGATATGCACGGAAAAGGTTGCTGCCTTTTACTTATGTTCAATTTTTTTCTTCTGTGGAGAGCATNTCAACAGTATTCAGTCAGCGCTTCCGAATGTGCATGCTCCTCTTTCCTTCCATCAACTAAAAACTCTGTGAGGAAGTTCGCGAACGTAACCACGCAAGAACGGTGGCAATTGTAATGATAAATTCCTCAAGCTGAACGTCACTTCATCCTTTTCTTCAGAAGAATCCTTTAAAATCTCAGTTTACTCCACCCAGCAGCCAGTAGAAACACCACCAATACCACTTAGTTAAGTTCAGTGCTTAGTCACCACTCATTTGTATATTCACATCCACCAATAATTTGCACACCCACGATCATCATACTAATTTTTACCGGTATCTCCTGAACAAACGAAGTTGATTAGAGTTGGTAAGAACAATCCTAATAACCTCCTCAACATCCACAACCAAGAATTAGATCCTTACTCGTCCAAGAAATCAGTTGTTAATATGCGAAGAGAACTGTAGTACAATATCTTCATGTATGCCATAGCAGACGCATGTTCTGTGTGTGTAGACTACGCCCCTTTCTCCTTGACCTAAACTGCACGATTACCTAGCATCTTCTTCGCCGAGTGCAATACCTTTCCTAACACCTCACTTCTAAAACATCATCAGTTTGAAAATGGAGATCAGGTATCAAGGCAGATGAGAGAAATTCAATCAGCCGCTATTCCACTTAGCGAAAGATGCAGAAAACATCTGCTGGTTAACTAAATGAGGTCACGTCCTCCATGAAAAAAAATCAAGTCGACATAAGTTCGGGTGTCTCGAATTTTGTTCGTTACTGCTTAAACCAAGGTGTGAGCGTATTTACAGAAGAAGCTTTTTTGGTTTGTTTTCCGTTGATGAATGGAAATACTAAAGCTTAATCAGTTTCTTGCCACTCGAAAACGTTTCCCCTTTAACACCAATCCTCCTTCATCTTGTAAATCACTCAAGTTCGAACAAAAGCACATTCCTTAATTTCGCTCTAATCCATCCACTACCGTCCCGTCATTACTGTATGTACGAGCGATTCATATGACTTGCCGTTACTTTGAAAACATGAAGAGTGCATGTGGACGAGAGTACGCTTTTAATGGCAACTGTGGAACGCTTCTAGTGGCAACTGCACTTTATCAAAAAGTTTAGCGGCGGGAAAAGCTGGTGAAAGGCTGATGGAAGTTGTGAGAAGATAGGACTTTTACCGATAAACTAAACTTGAGCAGTTAGCGGCGAAAGTTGTGCTCGGGGAGTGCTTTGTTGAAGTGCATATTTCGGAACTGTCTGAATGAGAGAGATTATCTATCCGAATAATTATCCGTACAGTTATCCGAATTTCATATATAGGTTTCACGATCATCAGTGGCGCCCTTACAACCGGTAGTGCCAGCCTTGCATGCGATAGTGTCACTCTTATGACGGGTACAGTCCAATTTGTGGACCGATAGTGACGAGCAATTCTTCAAGTGAAAATGAAAGTGATTAGACAATGTCTCATTGATATCACTTGGCAATCAGAATGAAGTAAAATGCAGTTCTAACTAAAAATTTGCCAGAGCATGAAGCATCTGGACCATCTGCACGTAGAAAATAGCACAGGATTTGAGCACGGTCAGTTACCTTCAAATTGAACGATGCAAAACTGACAGCCGTTGTTTATGGACTAAACAATTGGATAAATGTTGTTGTTTGTGAAAGAGTTTACTGGAATTCATTCAGCAAATGTTTTTCTATTAACGAATTTGTCGCGTCGCTGTAAGGCCCGTACATTACCTTTCTAGAATATCCTAAACCATTTTTTGAACTGACATTGGGCTTTTAAAATGTTGAATATGACTGTAATTATATAGTACGGAATTCATTCTGCTCAGTCATATATCACTGAGTAAAATCGTATGGTGAATTCATGCATTGTCAATTACGAAAATTGGATTTGTTATTCCGTTTCGAACTTGTATCAGATCGTAAAGCTATTGTTTGAAGATCTCACTGTTTGCTTTAGTCGTCTCATCGAATCGGGAGTTGACCATTGTTTTGTGATTCACAGATGCAATTAATAAGTTTAAGGTTTTTCCCGAATTTTGCGACATCATTGCTGCTGCAACGACCGGACGTTAATATCGTTTGCAAGAGTGACACTGACAGTCGTCAAAACGCCATTGTTGATCGTAAAACTCTATATTAGCAAAGATGAAGCGACATTATAAAAAATCAAGTGACGAGGATCGGATTCCGATCGTGGAGAGACTTTATAGGTTTGTTTTTCAATAATCGTTCAGGGTATTAAAGTGTGAAAAGATAAGTTTTAACGTAAAATTGACATTTTCAAAAAGGGTTCATTTCACATTAAGATTCGAAAAATTCACGTATTGCTTAGTACGTGAGTGCGTGATTTTGTATATTCGTTACGAAAATTGGATTTGTGAAGATAGTTTCGATAACTAGTATCAGTATAATTTGTGCTTGAATTCCAGATTTTGCTTAAAGGTTTTAAGCATTATGTATTAACGAACTGTTAAAGAAGACCCGTGATACAAATTTGATTTACGCGATATACTTTAAGGAAAAATCAAGAATGCTACACGAACGCTGGAGGTTTTATGGACGAAGACGATGAAGAAGAAGTTCGAAGAGAGCGCATTTCGGAAGCAAGAAAACGAAGTTCATTTTTATTTCAGTTTGATGAAACGTACTGTTATTGTCTAATCTCAGCAACAATTACCTTAAAATTAACCATCAGAATGCATCACCTAGAATTTTGTTCCGTTACTAGGAATCCTATCTTAGTTGATAGAATAGTAAGCTTTAAGTATGACTAGTATTACTGAATGATTATGTAGTTTGTGTTGTTAAAAACTTAACTGCTGAGTTTAGTCAAGAATTTTGTAACCTCTTTAATAGCGGTCCTTAAAATTTTAGATGAGGTCAGTTAATGGACATAAAATCGTCTTTTTGAGTTTCATTGGGTAATTATGTTGTTTAGGTTGCTGAAGTTTTGATGAAGATGTTTAAAGAGTTGCACACTAAAAGTTTAATTATCATTTAGAGCTTGAAGCAGCAGCTAAAGCATCAGGCTTGGTGGCACCCGATGATTGTTTGATGTGTTCGAAGTCGTTGCTTGATTCGTATCTCTGGGATAACTTCAATTATGCCGTTTGTGACAAATGCCGGTATATATTGTTGATATGATTATTGCTTCATGTTCATTTGAAAACGAGTTTCTTTTCATAACTGAACGGGTTGGCTGTATTCAGAGATGACAAAGATGCGCATAAGTTGATTGCAAGAACGGAAGCCAAAGTCAAATATATGCTGAAAGATTGTGATTTGGATTTGAGGAAACCTGTACTGAGGTATATCTCAAAGAAGAATCCCCACAATCCACGTTATGGAGACATGAAACTCTATTTGAAGCCCCAGGTAATGCAAAATTTCGTCCAACTTAACTCAACTTGACGCGAAATTTTCCAATTGGATTACTGCTTTGTTGTAGCTTGAACAACGTTGTCTCGAAATCTATGGATCGTGGGAAAAATTCAACGAATATAAAGAAACTCGGGCCGCACAAAAGGAGGCACAAGCGGAGAAGAACACGGAAAGAAAAATCCGTCAGATGCGAAAGCAGGTTTGTTATTGTTGAAGCTCTATGACTGAACAGATTTAACCTATAAAACAATTTTGACTGTGCTAAGTGTATGGATTCATTGTTTATTTTTGCTGACGTTAATCCGGAAGGAAACCAATTGAATCAGTGGTTAATTTCAGTTAAGAACCTCAAAGATGAGCGTACCAAGTACGAGTCAATCACATGAACATACCTTCGGTAAAGAGTTATATGATGATGCAAAAGATATGTATGTGTCGACGTGTACAGATTGTGGTTATTCCATCTCATATGAAAAATTTTAACTCATTTATTATGAATATCAGTTTTTCATTACAGTGTTAAGCTCATACATATTGTTTGTAATTTTTGCGCACTTTATGTGTATTTGCTTGAAAATTTTGGGATTGTTCATTGATAATATGTTTTTGTGTAAATGATTGCCTGTGAAATAAAGACAGCTCGTTTCTTTGTTGTCGCATATCGTTATCACAAAACAATTGCTGGCATCACCTGCTTCGTCATGATACATATTTGTGCAGTTGATTTCAGTATCATTTAGCTTGCTGTCACAACATATCCGTTATATTTTCATTAGCCTTGTAACGAATATCGCAGCATCAATGTTTATTTCGTTTCGGTACACTTAGTTTCGATTACTTACGAAACCGTGTTCAGAATGTTTTCAGTTTATTAAAGTCGTAGTTATATGTTTAGGAGCATTCATGCTTCACAAGTATTCTATTTAATAATTGTTTTGAATGAATTCGATGACCTCTAGATGTTAAAAGGAGGATATTTGAAAATTGTTTGGTTGTATACGTGCGAGCAATTCATTTCTATTAGCTACGGTAGTTCTAACGAAAAAATATCAATCCAGAAATAAACATTGATGAGCGAAAAAGAAAACAATCGAACGATCGAAAAGATTCCGGAAGATGTTTGTCGACGAATTTGCACTGGTCAAGTGGTGTCTACATTAAGTAGTGCTTGTAAGGAACTGATCGATAACGCGCTTGATGCTGGTGCGAATACGTTGGGTGAGTTCATCGACTATTGTTTAATAGCTGACTGTATGTATCAGGTGGTTGAATAGAAAAGTTATAGAGATACGTATTCGATCGTTTGGATGTGAGTCTATCGAGGTGATCGACAATGGTACAGGGATTCACTCGTCAAATTTTGACGTGTTAGGTTTGTTGATGCGTTATGGATTGTATTCAGTAGAACTGCATCTATGCTGGCATAGTTTTAGTTTCTTCTTGCAAAAATGACTTACCGCGGTATTTCAATCAAGTTTTCGTAAACAATTTCTCTCGGCGTGTAGTAGTTTAGTGCTCTTAGTTGATAATGTAAGGTCTGAATTTGATGTAATGATTTTTGAAGGTAAAGCTCATGCAACGTCCAAATTGAATGATATCACCGACTTCAGTCGTCTTAGCACGTTTGGATTTCGTGGAGAGGCACTTCACGCACTGTGTGCCATAAGGTTGATAATCAGAATTTCAGTTCGCCCTTTTCATCCGCTTCCTCAAATTATGCATTTAATCGAGATTTTAGAGTCAAGATTTTAACAGCAGAAAGATCAAACTGAGAATTATTTCAGTAGTGTTGTAGTAACAACTCGTCATATTGATGAAACAATGGCTACCCGAATGGTTTTCGATCATAATGGATGTATTGTATCACGTGAATCATGCGCTAGACCGGTAAGCTAAGAAAATTCCATCGATCATATGATGACTGTTTGCTATGCTGATTTTACTTTGGTGGCATCATACTGAATTATCAGGCGGGTACAACAGTAGTGGTGAGCAATCTGTTCGAAACGTTACCAGTTCGTCGTAAAGAATTGCAACGAACAGCCAAGAAAGAGTTCTGTAAACTGTTGAATGTTGTTCAAACATTCGCGCTATCACGTACCGACATACGATTCTCTATCGCTAGTACATCGAACGGGTTTGTTTTTTGTTGCTCTTTTATTAAATTTCACGAGTTCAGTGTTCTTCAGCATATATTAATTTATTAAGTGAATGGTTGTTCGAAGATGATATCCGATTTAAGGAAACGTCAGCAAGTGCTCTCAACACCCGGTGGGAATGCAACAATAAAAGACGTATTAGTAACTCTATTTGGAGCACGTTCAAATAAGAATGCTGTTCTTGATATTGTACAGCGTCTGCCAAACGATCAAATCTGCATCTTGTATGGAGTTGACGCTGAGAAGAGTGTTCCCATTTTTGCAGAGATTAAGTATGCTGATTTATTGTTGTTGATGATCGATTGATCTCCCTCTGTCAACAAGTAGTTGATTATTTTAACGAACGAACGAACATATGCCAATTATTTCAGACTTAGCGGCTATGTCAGCTCGTGTGTACACGGACACGGTAGAAGTAGCAACGATCGTCAGTTCATTTATTTCAACAGAAGACCCGTTCATTATCCAAAGGTTCAGTTTCAGTGTCATCTCATTCAGCTCATAGTTTGATGTATTCTTTGAAAAAGAATCATTGTCATATTTCTCCTTTCATTATGCTCATTAAATATTTCGTTTTATAGTTATGTCGTGTTGCGAACGAAGTTTATCAGCAATACAATCAAGGTTATTACTGCATGCTTGTACTATTCGTTGAAGTGCCTCCAGGTAAGTGGATCGATGATGTATATTCACTCATTACTAGTGCAATAAATAAGTGTGTGTTGAACGAATCAAATGATTACATGAATGTGGATAGATAGATTGATTTTATGTTTCTAATATTGATCTGTCTTTATATAATATTTACCTGTTATAAAGAGAATATCGACGTGAATGTGTCTCCGGACAAGCGGTGTATATTCTACGAGAAAGAAAGAGAATTGTTTGCATTACTTCGAGCATCTTTGCTGGCAACGTTCGAACCTTATCTTGGTCAAATTCAATCCGTCACGGCATCACAAAAATTTTGTAAACTCTTAACCTTCTTTCCATTTCCATCGCAGTCATTCACTAACTCGAAAGCTTTGTTTTGAGTTAAAGTCTCGTTTCAAGTTTTTTTGTAAATTATCACTGAATTATTTATTCACTCCTCTATTTTCAGCAATGACATCATCAAATGATCATAGTTTGAATGAATGCACTGCAAATGTTGATTCCATTTCGGTGACTAGTGAATGTGACAAACTGGTTGAAGCATCAAAAGATGGTCGTACGGCCACTTTGAATGACATTCTTCATTCAACAGGTAGGTGATGCTTGTTAAAGCAAATTTCATTTGATCTCATCCATGCATAAAACGTGAATGTTGTTGAGACAATTTCAGCAGTTATTCCTCACCATCACGGAAAAAACGAAGGGCAACCGCAGACTATGGTGGATGGAACAAGAAAACGAGGTGCTGCGAAAGTATTGGAGAGTTTTGCATTCAAAGTGATCACTCATGAACGAAAGACTGATGACGACGACACGATGCTAACAGCAGTTAAGCGAAACAAACCAGCAGCTGAGGTGATTGATGATTTTGTGGCGAATACTGCAAATGAGGACGATCTTGACGAATCCTCTTCGAATACAACACTCGTTCGCGATCGAAACGCGTCTGTCCCAACAACCAATCCAAGAGTAGTGACATTGCTTGACGGCTATCAAAATCACCAATCAAAAATGGCACCGATCAATATCGGTCAACTGCATCAGATAAGTGGTTTCAGTAGCGATTAACTTTCAACAAATACAAAATGGACGACTGATTATCTCTTGAAGTAATCAGTTCGTGCGAGGTTTTGAGTATTCATCCATGTACTCACTGGTTGTGCTGCACCACTGAAATTTATCAAATATTGGTCATGTTTCATCTGTTCCGTAATCATTCAGATAATTTGAATTCTTCTTGCAGTGCATTTATTTCTTTGCCTTATCGTTTAGCTCAGTGATCATTTCTGCTTCTTTTTCTTTTTGCTTGACATCCATTAGTAATCATTTCAATTTGATAAAAGTTAATTTTTAAGAGTCAACGAAGCCTGCCTCAGCGAACAGCGAAGCTTCATCTCAAGTTATGCGAACTCAACAGACGGTTCTTTTCACAATGAGCAGTTTTAAAAATAGAATGTCTGAGGTATGAATGGTTTGATTAATGTGTTCATTCCTTTAAGTAATTCTTCACAACACAAAAAAAACTAAATTTCTGCGTTCGTTTGGAGATGCGTCATCATCAGGATCATCCGTCTATCACAAAGCAGTCGGACAAGTTAATCGAGTATCCAGTTTTCAACGTCACATCTCAACAGAAAGCCGAAGAAGAACTTGACGCAAAACTCGAGTATGCCATTATGTCACACACTTTTCAAGCAGTTCTTTCCCCTTGATATCATTATATTTATGTGCATCGTTTAAATTTCTAAATAAATTGTTTTTAAGTATGTTCAGCAGATTCATAATGCGATTGTGTCACCCGTTTAGTCAATGAGAGTATGGTACATTGATTAGTGTTGTTTAAAATGACTTATTGAATTTGCAGAACAAACGTGTTCGCTTGCAAAGAGCACCGTGAATGAATGAAATTTTCAGAAAAGACGACTTCGCATCAATGAATATTATTGGTCAGTTCAATAAAGGCTTTATCATAACGCAACTTTACAATGATCTCTTCATTGTTGATCAACATGCCAGTGACGAGAAATTCAATTTTGAACGTTTGCAATCGAAAGCGCGCATACAGAGTCAACTGCTCATCAGGTTAGTCGCATTCGTTGCTTGTTATTTTTTTGTACATTCATTTTGATTTTTTTGATAAAAAACTAAATTCCAACAATTATTTCTCAGCCCTCGAGTGTTGAATATTGGCGCAATGGAGGAGGCTATTTTACGCGATAATATTGACATTTTTAATTGTAATGGCTATGAATTTCGATATGATGAAGAAGGTAAGGTTTCATTGGTAATCGGCAAATCAACTTTGTTACATCTTCTTTGTATTGGTGATATTGTTTGGGTTACAGTGAACAAAAATGCAAATTGCAGGTGAACCCGGACAACGCTTTTCTCTTACCTCAGTACCTGTTCTTAGTAATTGCCAGTTTAACATATCAGGTTATGCTCACTCTTTCTCTTGGTGTTTCTGTTCACAGCAACAAAATGCATATATTTTTATTGGGAGCAGAAATCCCGAACGTCAACCTTTTCATTTATTTTTTTCATAAAATTGCCTTGTTAAATCGCTGTTTTGTTTATGTTATCGTCACACATGAAGTATTTGTTTATGAGATATTCTCTCAAACTCACTATGGATCTAACTCTATTTGTGCTTCATTCTCGGTCTCGAAACGTATGATGAAGTGAACTTAATAAAAAGACTCTTGCAGATATTCACGAAATGCTGTCTGTTCTCAAACAGTACCCAGGTATCATGTATCGTCCAACCAAAGTCCATAAACTATTTGCATCGCGTGCTTGCCGTACTTCTGTGATGATTGGCACATCTCTGAGTTCAGCACAAATGCAAAAGGTTTCATTATTATTCACCGTTCCACTTCGGTAGCTCCCCTCATACCTTCCTCCACCTATCCTTAGTTTTGCACAGAAATCTTAATTTTGATTCTTCCGAACTGCTTGAAATATGCAATGCTCATTTTGCAGCATTTTCATACCATTCATCGAT